AAGAAGAAAGAAGAAGAAGAAAGAAGAAGAAGAAAGAAGAAGAAGAAGAAAGAAGAAGAAGAAAGAAGAAGAACAAGGAAGAAGAATTCGGATTCCTAACTCACTTCCCTATCCAGCTCACCTCTCCTCGCCCAGTCTCGGACTTCTGTCGCTCCACCACGGTGGAGGTCACCGGCGACGGCAAACTGGCGCCCATCCTCCGGGCGGGCCGGCAAGCCGGCAGTGCCTCAGCCGGCCGGGGCGTGAATTTCGCCCCGGAACGCCCAAGGAGGGAAGGGCGGGAACACAAACGCACCACGGACACACCACCGGGTGGGGATGAAATTTGGTTCTTTTGGGGGGGGCTGGACCAAAGAGGTTTTCCGAGAGCAGGTTGAACTCGGAAGTGATCTGAGTGGTACGTCTTGCGAATATTCGATGTCTGGTGGGGCTGTGGGAAACAAACACCTCTCTACGCAGTATATATATATATATATCTGCGACCTCCGAACCAAATCCCCGAAAAGCAGCGGCCGCCGTCGCGCAGCTCAACGTCCCGGCAGGTATCGATGCTCCGACGTCGCACCGACATCGAGGCTCCGAGGTGAAAGGGCGAATGATGCGAAAGGTGCATGCATGAGATTCAAGGAACCATACTGACACTTCCATTGCAAGGGCGGGTTATATACATATATATATATATATGATCGAGGGTCCTTTAGGTATCATTTCGTAAAAAGAAACAAACACAAATGATTTAATTTTCAATTCAAATATTTATTGCAAAAAGCATTTGTAAATTAAAAATTGATAGATTTTGATGTGTTATTTATTTTTTTTAAGATTTATTTAATTTATTCAATTTTTCAAATTGTAACTTAAATATATTTAAAAGTTAAAATATTTCTTTTTGTTTGTGGATTTGGCTATTTAAAAAATTAAATAAATTAAATAAATTAAATAAATTAAATCGACGTGTATATATTTTTTTAATCTATGTATTTTTTTAATGGCTTTTGTAAATTAAAAAATAAATAGATTTTGATTTATTTTTTAATTTAAGAAACATACAGGACGATTCCACACGGTAAAGCAGGCGTCTTTTT